ATATTACCATAGTTCACAGTTGTGCCCAAGTCTTAAAATGTAAGCTGGTTGTAAGCAGTGACATCTTCCTGATCCAGCAGCCAAGCTGCAGCAGTAGCTCACAGAAACAAGGTCTTGGTAACCCCTACCTATCCACACAGGCTAAAGATGCTCCTTAAAATGGTTTACATAAAAGAGAAATAAACTTTGCTTGAATCTTTGATATGAGGTTATTAGGCATTAAAAAGCTGACCTAGTTATCACTGTTTCTTATGGATAGGCATAGGAAAACCTTATGGGTATCCTAGGCCATTCTTCAGTGAGTGCTCTTGCCAGCTCTGTTCTGCCACCTCACCTAGTGGGACTAAGATTCTGGCATTTCTATCAGCAGAGGCAGAATCTTCAGCTATTCTCTTGTAAGATGTAATAAATCTGCATGTTTTCCATCTGTCCTGTTTCCAGCTATCTATTGCATAGCTGGAAGGGAAAAGCTTCTGACCTTTTAAAGGGAAAAGCTTATGATCTTAAAGGAAAAACATGGACTATTCCTGCAGAAAAGGCCAACCCAACCAGTCTCTGATTTATATCAGAGCACACTTCAGCTGCCAGAGGAGCACAGGTCTGCTGGAGGAGCTGTGCCAACTCTGCCAGCACTCCTGTTGGCACCTCAGACCCGCAGATGGAATTAGCCGCCTGTTTTTAGGCAGCTGGGATTTGACACTGGAGCAAGGTGGAGGTGTTCTGGTGTGAGCCGGCACTCGGAGCTCCAGGCCATGAGCTGCTGACGCAGTCACCTGAGCCTGGAGCGTGCCCAGGAACAGACACGGAGCTGCAGTCCCTTGCTGCAGTGACACCTCAGAGTGTTCTCAGCTGGGACCTTCTCTGTTCATACCTACCCTGGGTCCTCAGTTCCCCAGAGCTGTAACAGTGGTTGCTTCTCCCAGGTGCCTGTGTAGTGACAGAGCATCACTCCTCTCCTCCTCACCCTTAAAGCCACTCCAGCTGCACCATCACGAGCCATCCTTCCTCTCTGCCACAGAAGGAGGGAGGAGGCTACAAAAGGGAAACTCCACCCTGGGGTGATACTAATCCAAACCAATTCTCCTTTCTCTTTCCCCTCTCAATTCTCCTTCAGCTTGAAATGCATTGAAGTTCCTTTTGGCACTCACAGGCTCGCGCACACAGACCCACCTTTGGTCACAGGATAAAGCAGCAGACACTGAAGCTGCTTTGCAGTGTCTGCTGAAGCCATGTGCTGAATTTCAAACAGTACCCATTCAGAACAGGGAATTAAGCAGCTCGAGACTCTCTGTACTATAAACAAAGGCAGAATGCTGTGTGCATCAGCAAAATGCCTTGTATTGTAAAGTGCTCCCTTTATGTCCAACCAGGAGAGAATTCAAATTATTATTGACCCTCCACTGTAGGAAAGGCACATTATAATATCTCCAAATCAATCGAGACAAGTGCAGAGCAGCAGAGAAAGGCCACGGCTCTGCAAACTGCTGAAAATTGCATTTTGTTTTGGCCTCTTACAAAGTTTGCAAAGCATCTATTAGAGGCCCCCAGAGCCTTTTCTTTCTAATTGCCATGTTTGACAATGCGATCGCACAGGGGACCAGTGGAAAGACAGATAATGGACCCACTTTAATTGCTTCCCAGTTCCATGAGTCATAACACTTCTGAGATGGCAAAGGGGAAGTGCGGCAGTTTGACTGAAGGAGGTTTCTGGCTTTTAAGAAAGCTCTGGAGGAATAAATGCTAAACTCAAAGCCAAAGTTTTGGAGGGACTGAAGGTTCCAGGTATGGGGTTTTCTTTCATCTTTTGCTTTTGACTGGAACTATTAACAGTTAATGTTTCATCACGTTCTGGAAGGGGTGGGATGGCTTCTTGTCTGGGAAAGGATGGAATGGGTGTCATGCCAAGACCCTTTTTCTCAGGGATGGGCACTGAGGTTGGGTCCTGCAGGCAGTGGAGGGTCTGGCATCAGTCATCTGGCAGTGGTGGTAGAGAACACTGTATATGCAGAGCTCCGGGTGGATCTATCTGGCAGGTTGATGGAAGGATGCTGCAGCTCCCCCCTGGGAGAAAGGTTGGCATGTATTTACAGGGAGTCTTTTGCCTGGAAAGGGAAGGAGCCCACAGCCGGGGATGAACCAGGACTCCAGGAAAACAAGCGATGTAGTTTGCTTCTGCCAACCAGACTGTGGAAGAGCTTGGCTCTTTCTGCACAGGTCCTCTGGATTCTTGTCATCTGCCCTCAGACCAGGGCATTGATCTCTCCATTCAGGGCAGCATCCTGATGCTGGGAGCCCTCAGCATCATGGATACTTGGTGCTTCCCAAGAAGAGCAGGAGCCCATGGCATTCGTGCTATTTCTGGACAGCTTTAAGCTATCTCTGTGTGATCTTTACCTGACTACCCTCTCAAGGGCTTCATCCTTTCCCTCTGCTTTTTGCCAAGGGAAACAAGCTGCTGCATGGTGTACAGGACATTGTAAAGGCTCTGGGCACAGCCAGGTTGTGCCCCAGGCCCTCTGGGAATGGACTGGCTTGTCTGGGTGCTGCCTTCACCTCAGTTGGATGAGCCCTGTGACGTGGTGGTTGTAAAGGAGGAAATGAGAATGAAAAGTAAGAGGTCATCAGAAAAGGGGAGGAACAAGAGGAGGTGAGGAGGACAATGGAAGAAGATGGAGCTCCTGGTTTTGTACCTGGGTGCCCAGTTCATGGATGCTGGGGCGTCTGGTTGTACACACATGTGCAACACAGTCACCAGGTCAGTGCTCCAGCTCCTTCCATTGTGTTATAGCCCCAGCTTTGTGATAGAGCAGGAGGCTCAGTGAAGTGATGCTCCACACCATGCTGCAGCATAAAGGGGCTTGGGTCTGTGCTTTGCTTTGTGGCATCTGACTGGAATGGCTTTAACCTGCCCGAGGGGAGACTGAGATGAGCTCTGAGGCAGAAGCTCTTCCCTGTGAGGGTGCTGAGGCACTGGCACAGGGTGCCCAGAGAAGCTGTGGCTGCCCCATCCCTGGCAGTGTTCAAGGCCAGGTTGGACACAGGGGCTTGGAGCAAGCTGCTCTAGTGGAAGGTGTCCCTGCCCGTGGCAGGGGTTGGAGCTGGATGAGCCCAAACAGTTCTATGATTCTGTGATACTGGGCCCCAAAACAGGTGCCTGTTTCCAACTGATGGGCTCCAGCTCCAGGAGCACAGGGCAGTGATACCATTGACATGTCTCAACCTTGCAGGTCTTGGTGTAGGGTCAGAGAAAGTGAAAATTTGGGTGTATATTCCAGGCAGACAGGAAGAAGCTCTCCTGCACTGCAAACCATCCTAAAACTGTGTCTGTGTTAACATAGCTTGATGCCAGGTCTTAGCAACCTTTCGTCCCAGGACCCTGCCTTCTGCTCATCCCTGTCCTAAAGTGGTCACTTGGCACCTGGCTTGGGAAGAACAGGTCACCTTGCCTTCCCAAGGCTCTGTGGACTGCACCCATTCCTGCATGTGATTGAGGTCCTGAGCCAGCTGGGAGCCCTCTGATGACTGCTGGGTGCTGAGCCTTGTTATGGATCAGTCAGAACATGCTTGAGCTGCACGGCAGGAAACTAACTGGAAAGAGGCTTTGTGGGATGATTGACAGTAACTGTCTCTGGTGGAAGGAGCTAATCTGAGCAGCTCGTGAACACCAGGTCCCTAATTAAAGCACACAGGCCAGCCCTGCCTGTAATTAATTTCCCTGTGCTGCTCGGCTGGCAGCTGGCTATCAGTGCCACTGACTCACAGCTCCCAGCAGCCTCAGAGACAGTGGCAGCAGGAGAAGAAAATGTACGTCTCAGAGTGGAGCAGGATTTGCCCCTTTCCTTCTGCTCCTCTGTGCTGGGGAGGTGTTGTAGCATGCCTCGAGCCCTGCACACATTCAGGAGCTGGGACAGGACCTTGCTCTGTTCATAGGAAAGGGCTGGTGGTGAGCGGTTGGAGCACAGCAATGAAGTGATGCAGAGGATGCAGGAGCATGGCTGTCAGGAGGGGGTGGCACAGGGCAGGGTAGTATTTATATGCACGGCTTCTTCTCGGCCAGCTGCTTTGTGCTCTCTCTTTCTCTCCCCGTGTATACACATAATTATTATGCACTTGCCTCCCCTGGCTGGTGCTGGAACACGAGTGTTGTCATCGTGATTCCTCTCGCACAGGAATGGTTCTTCGCGTTCACTCCACTGCGAACGTGTCACATAGTTATAAGGCATGTAGGATGCATCTGGGCTGGAGGCTGTAGCTCCTGTGGCATGGCCAGGGCAGGGAGGATCAGCTGGGAAAAGCCATGGAGCTTGCAGTGGTCTCTGCTTCCGGGTGCTGTTCTGCTGGAGTGGGTGCTGTTGCATAGTGAGGTGAATCCCATTGCTCCGGTGCCACCCCGGCCACCATCATCTGAATCATGACACTGGAGAAAGAGGCTGTAGGAAGTCCTGTTTCTCTGGCTACAGGTTTTTGTTATCAGATGGAGAGGAATCGTGCAGGACAGAGGGTTGCCAGCATTGTTTTGATTTCCCAGGAGGCTCCTCTTGGTGTGACATGTTTCCAGCAGGGAATTTCAGTTGTCTCGTGTTACTTTGCTCCATACAATGGGACGTGATATGTCAAAACATGACATGCCAGCCAGGATGTGTCATAATACTGCACTCAACACACTGCCTTCCAGGGTTGCTCAGCAGCTAATAATATCAGGCTCAAATTATCTCTGTGTGCTGAGCTGTTATTTTTTCTCCCATGTGGACTATGAGATCTAGAAGTCTCCCGCTTATATTGGACTGTTGGATCACCACAGATTTATTAGCTGCACACAGTGAGTTTTTTTGACTAGAATGAAGCTCAAGCCTGGGATCCCATATTGCAGAAAAGTGACTTTCCATCCTTGGGTTCTCCAGTACCTTTTGTTCTTGCTTCAGTAAAGAGTTTGGTGAGATTTCCGTATGATTTAATCCGTTATCACTGGGGTTTGAAGTTGCTATTTTAGTGCAGAGATGATGTGGTTTCATTAGCCGTGCAATTGCCTTTTAGGCTTTTCCATGAGATGCAGCTTCTTGTCTCCAGGATCTGGCCCCATGTGCTGCACAGTGTACACGTGGCTGGATGCAGTCAGGCTCTCTCCAGTCTCCCCAGTTTATCCCATTCTGCATCATTGTCCTTTTCCACCTGCCTTTTGAGCTCCACTCTTTTACCTGAAGGTGTAACAAGGCATCAACATGCCTGAACAGTATTCTCAGTCGTTCAAAGAAGAAACCAACCTCCCACAAGAGCGAAGAGGGGAAGCTGCTGTGGTTCCTGGGCTGGAGAAACGTGCTCTTTTTACCAGAGATACTGTGATGAGCGGGGAAGGAGACACACATGTCCCTGCTCACATGTGGTATTTCACAAATGGAGCCTCCTGCTGCTTCTGTTGCTGCCCATTCGTTTTAGCTCCTGTCTGCAGTTTACAGGAAGCAATCTAATTACTTGGTGCTAATTGCTGGTAAAGCATTGCTGAAGCTGCTTTTCTTCCTGACTACCCCTCCATAGGTAGGAAACAACAGGTCCATGTGCAGGTGTCTCAGCTGGAGGTTCCCTCCAGGTTCCCTTTCAGAAGATGCTGGTGCACAGCCTCTGCCCATCTCTGTCCCTTCTCCAGGCCCTTTCACAGCATCCCGGATGGAGCTGGTGAATGTGGTGAATCAAAATGCTTTCTCGTGATTCCTATGCAGTCCTGCTCCTGGGGAAGCAGGTGATCATCACCATGGAAAATATTCCTCTCCAGGGCTCTTCGACCCCAATGGGCTGCCTGCATGCTTGGGGCACATGGAAACTACTTGTGCCTTGCAACCTTGGAGGAATCCCTGAATCAAACACTGCACATGATTTCCTCCAACAACAGCACTGCCCTCTGTGGAAAAACATGTTGTTTTCTCCTCTTCCTCAGTGGCCGCAGATTGAAAGGATTAAAAAGAGGAGAGAGGAACAGAAGGAAGAATATGTGGCATAAAGGTCTGACCAAGAGAAGGAAAGGATGCGCGTACCTGAGACCTCTACAGGCAGGTTGGCCTGTAAGTTATTCGGGGAACCTTTCACAGTTACTCCTTGCAGGAAGACTAGATCAGTCCTGAATTGTTCCCGGAAAGTTGCAAAAGACACATTGCCATCTCACATTTTGGGTGCAATCTGGAGACACCTGCTTGGTTTGGAGAGTTGTTCAATGATCTGGAAAAGGAAGGAGCTGGTGGCACTGCTGGAATGGGATGCAGAGCTGCTTAGTACAGCCCTGTGGCTGCAAGCATCAGCCACAGCTGGGCAGATGCTTTCCTATAAGCTGAAGTGTTCTAAATGTGCCTGTGGCAGAGAAAAACATCCCCCTTGAAGACAGCTCCTTTGCTCAGAGGTAAGCTCTTTGCAATAGGCCATATGTTAGATGTGCATCCAGGACCCATGATGCAAATACATAATGATGGTGGCTTTCTTTCGCCACCGAAGTCAGAGGCCTGAGTGAAAGAGTGAAAGGCTGAGAAGTGCTCAGACTTTGCCACTACAAGTGTGTATTGATTTTATCTCTTGTGTTGAGTGATAGAGCATTTTTAATTCTGCATTTTAATTGTTTGGCTCCGCTGGCATATGTTGTTTGTGGTTAGTGGCAATGCACTTAGAAGGGTGATTTTCAGGCTCATCTATTAGTTGCAAAGAAAAGCATTCTCCCATAACCCTGCTTAATTTGCATACTATTTTTGTTATCCTTTAGGAAGCAAACTGCTGATTTTGGTGCTTTGCTTGAACATCCAGTCAGAAGTGGAGTCTTGCCCCGGGGCGTGTGTGTGCTACAGTGAACCGAAGATTACAATAAGTTGTCAGCAGCAAGGACTGACAGCAATCCCCACGGAGATACCCATCCAGAGCCAGCGCATCTTCTTGCACAACAACAAGATAACCCTTGTGAGGTCCACCAGCTTCACCTCCTGCCGCAACATGACAATTCTCTGGATCCACTCCAACAACATCAGCCTAATTGAGCCTGGAGCCTTCTATGGGCTCAGCAAACTGGAGGAGTTGGATCTCAGTGACAACACGAACCTGAAATCTATCAACCCTGTCACTTTCCGGGGTCTTGTTCACCTCCACACCTTACACCTGGATCGCTGTGGGCTCCTGGAGCTCTCCACAGGGCTTTTTAGAGGGTTGTTCTCCTTGCAATATCTCTACCTTCAGGATAATAAACTTCAGAATCTGCTGGATGACACCTTCATTGATCTTGCAAACCTCACCTACCTGTTCTTGCACGGTAACAAAATCAAGAGCTTGTCAGAGAATGTCTTTCGAGGGCTAATCAACCTTGACCGGCTGCTGCTGCACCAGAACAGGGTCAGCCTGGTTCACCACCGGTCTTTTCATGACCTTGGGAAAGTGATGACCTTGTATCTGTTTAACAACAACCTGACCGTGCTGACGGGGGAAACCATGGCTCCCCTGGTGTCCCTTCAGTACCTGCGCTTGAACGGCAACCAGTGGATCTGTGACTGCCAGGCTCGCTCGCTCTGGAATTGGTTTAAGCAGTTTAAAGGATCATCTTCAGAGCTCGAGTGCCACCTTCCCCCCCGCTTGGCAGGGAGAGACCTCAAGAGGCTGCAGAGCACTGACCTGGAAGGATGCATCGTCGACTCCTACAACCAGATACGAACAAGTGTTTTTAGCACTAAGACCAGATCTGGTAAACTGCCAACTGGGATCCCCCCTCTCAGTTCCCACGACGGCTCCTCCAAGTGCTGCCACCCAGAAACAGATAAGTCTTTTATTTATGAAGCTAAAGGCAAGGCAGGTCCTTCTTCCCACAGCAGCCGGCCATCCTCCAACAACCCTCTCAAGGACAAGGAGAACATGTCCAAAACCAAGTACGTAGAGACGGACCGTTCCAAAAATGGCAGCAACAAGCAGATAAACGATTCCCCCTTTGGGACCTTCCCCAGCATTGTAGACCCTCCATTGACCAAGTTGAGACCAGAATTTCCAGAGCCTATTGAACCTTCCACAGTCCCAACCAAAAAGAGGCAGGGCTGCTCTAAAAAGAACAGATCAAAGGCCCAGTGCCGCCTCACCCAGCCAGGAAACAGCTCCACGTTACAGCTCAGCCTAAGCCTTTTGATCCCCCCCTTGGTGTGGAGCTTACTGTTATTCTGCTAAAACTCTTTTCCTGGGTTGATGACACTTTAATACGAGACTTTTGCTGACCTCCATAAACATTGCAGACAAAAGCAGAACTACCATCCACCCTGAGAGAGCTTTGTTACACAAAACTTAACTGGATGCCTTTATAACAAAAACCACAAATCAAAAACAAACAAAGACAAACGCCAAGATGTACATAATTTATTTGTCCTGAAACCTGTGAATTATACCTTTGGTCTTCGGAACTGCACTTGCCCCAAAGCAGCTTTTACTACAGCAGATGGTAAAGAAATATGGTTTATTTACAGGAAAAAAAAAAAAAAGTGTAAGAAATGCTCTGAAAAGAATGTCTAAAATCTGTTTGTAACTTGACATCTCACTGAACAATACTGCAGGTTCCCATTTGCAGAGGTAATGAATTTGATGCTGTTTTAATCCTATGTTTATGAATATTGCAGTTTTTCTGTATTCATTCCATCACGCCATGTTTACGGGCAGCATTTGTTAAAGAATGCTGCCTTTTTCTCCACAAGATTGCAGTATATATAGATATGCATTTTATTTTACTTGTGTACAAGTATACAAAAAAAAATATAAAATAAAGATTTCTTTTTCCTAAATGGTTGTCATCTGCAAGAGGTAAAGTTCACTAACCGGCCACAGAGTTGGAACAGTCACAGGATGCCAAGTAATCTGTGATCCGAAGGCAAGTTGAGCGTTTAACGCGACAGTAATAAATAAGACATACTTGATGTGGTTATGCAACCTTTAACTGGTGCCAGGAAAGGGTTTCCTTGCTTGAAACATGCTCTGCTAATGCTCCTGTTCCCCTTTGAACTGTCGCACGCATTCACCCGGTGTCATTCATATTTCAGGATGCTCAGAATAGCAGGAGATAATAGCCCAGCCCCTTGGAACTGAGGACTCCAGGTTGCAGGTAGAAGAACTTTAATGAGCAATCGCAACAAGGTGGACAGGGCCATTTTTCATCTGATATGCACAGATAACTAGATTCAGCTCTGTGATTAATGAAGCAGAAGGTAGCTCCAGATCAGAGCAGCACTTTAGGCTTTGTAGCTATGAAATAGGGTTCATCTCCCCAGACATGCAGCTCCTGGCCCGTAGATTTTCTTCTGTGCTTCTCTCTTCAGGAAGACTATTGAGATATTGAGGTCTGTGCATGCAAGACCAGCCTGTCACATGCAGGTGGCATGTAATGGAGGCTAGAGAAAAGCAAGAGCAGTATCATGGTCCCAAGGTCCTGGGAATGTGTGCTAGAGAACTGTGTGGGCAAGTCAAGGCTGAGGGGCTCCAGGCAGCCCTGACCACCCTTGAGGTTCATAGCACTGGTGCTCAGCTTCACAGAATAACCACAGGTGGAAGAGGGAGGCACCATCTCCAAGCAGGAGTGCAGGAGTGAAGGACACCAGTAGGGCCATGACTTAGTGCCAGCCTTGCTCTGGGCTTGATGGTTGATGAGGAGGGAACAGTAACCATGGGCAGAAGCAGGGGAGGTTGCTTGTTGGATGGCTCATGTCTCAGGAAGACTGTGCTGCTGCAGGTTGGGCAGACAGCATAGCAGTGTCTGAGGCCCACCTGCAATAACTTCATGGGGTACTTTGTGCCTCTGCTACAGCCAGTTTCCACCTCTGTGAATGACACAGGTGGCAATGCCCAAACTGGTGCATTTGTGATGTCTCTTCCAAATCCACCACTGGAGCTGCCAAGAAGATGTGGCATAGACCTGTACTAGTGGACAGCTCACTCTTGGCACTGAGATGGGGACTGATCTGTCAGTACCAACTCTATGGCTGGGCAGGAGATGCTATGCTCATGGCCCTGGGATCCTAGCAGATCTGACTGCTGTTATCCCAGCTCCACAACCAGCATCAGCATCTGCAGAGGAGCCAGGCATATTTTGGTGCAAATACACTGTCCTGCCCAAAGGATGAAGTAAGACCTCGGTGCCCTGTGCTGGGATTCTTAAGTGTCTTGGTAAGCTAGACAGCCTTGACTGTCCTAATGCCTGTGTGCATGTCCCATTTTTATGTGCATACTTATCTACAAAGACAGGTGGGTGATCAGCACATTACCAGCTGCTTTCTCTAACACTTGCTGGGATTTATTCCCTTCATGCCAGTGGTGGAGGATTTTCTGGGATCCTGCATGGCCAAAGCAGACCCTGGCACCTCCTACTCACCCAAAAGCATCATTCAAACCCTTGAGGGATTCAAACACCCGAAGCTGAACCACAGTAGCAGAGAGCAGCTCAGCCTGGCTTGGCCATGGGGTCAGCACCACTCCAAGCCCATAGAAAAGCCAGAAGGAGAATTTCCTCATGCTGTAATGGACAGCTGTGATAATTCCCCGTCTGATCATGATCTCAGGGCACACCCATGCCTCTCTTATACAGCAGTCAGCGAGCCTTGTGGCCAAAATGCTTATGAGAAAATCAGATGAGGTGTAAAATCCAGGATGAACCTGGACAAAAGATTGAAAAGAAAGAAAAAAGAGCAGAGCTGTGTGTTGTGGCATGTCCTGAAGCAACTAAATGGGCCCTGAGCAGACCTAAGATCTGGGCTTGCCCATACCCAAATCAGTATCAAGGGGTGTTTGGCTTTGGCTTTGATGCTCCCTGTGGGTAACACAAAGCAGACTAGTGCATTACTGTCACTTATCCTGAACGGACTAGGAGTTGCTTTATGCCAAAACAGTGACACTCTTCCTGCTTTCTAAAGCTTGACTCTGCTGTGCTTTCAGTGGCTCCTTGGACTGTTTATTGGCCACAAGCCCAGAGGAGTGCCTTGTGCTAATTTCCTAGATTTCCTGCTGTCCAGATGCCAATTCCTGTGTTTACAGGCATTACAGGGCCATTTGAATGACAAAAAACTGAAGAAAGGGATTCAGTGGGCAGCAGGAACACCTGTAGGAACTCTGAAGAGGCGAAGGGAGAACTGTGGTATTGGTGAGGATAGGGAGGGTTTGAGGACTTCAAAGGAAGGCAGTTTCACATCTCTGTGCTTTATTGGGGTTGGAACAAATCTTCTAGATATCCCTCGAAGACCTGTTTTACACTCAGTCATCACTGAGTTAAATGGAATTTACACAGCAGCACTCAGGACCTTGTTGACTTTTCCCCATCTCATGATACTTTCTCTCTCTTCATTTCTCACTGTGCAAGTCACAGTCAATTTTCTGCTCGTGTCCTTGATGCCAGGAGTGAAATCAAATAAACAAAGAAGCCAGGACAGCTCTGGATGGATGAGAGATGCAGTCCAGACTGTCCTGGGAAGAATGGACTTGCCATTACAGAGCTGCACAACTCTGCATATGGTGTCCTCTCCGCTTTGACACCACTTGGATAATGCAATACCCGCTCTCGAAGATGTGATAAAAATAAAGGCCTTCAAGTGGTGGAAACGCATTGTGTTCAAGCTTACTTCCTTAATGGCATTTGCCTCCACAGATCCACACTTTTCCGTTGCTGCCAGCTCCACACTTGTGCTTGCAACAAGCAGGAACAGTACCAAAAGAGAAACTCTTCCAGGGTTTCTGGTCCACCTTTAAGCTCTGCCAGGCTCTGTGCTAGCCAAGGAGATGATTATTCCCTTCCTTATCATGTCAAGTATATTTATCTTCTGCTCTCTCCCTCCATCTTCCCATCCTCCTGCAGAGGGCAGGGAGATGGGACTTTACTTCTGCTGTGAATGGGACCCATTTCCAAGCTGGTCCTCCAGACCACTGTGACTCTCCAGCTGCTAGAGTACGATACTCAGGTCCTCAGAGTGAAATCTGTTTAAGTATATGGAACTTCTTAACAAAGCTCTTCTGCATTCTGCTTGGCCGCATACTGGTTTTCTCACCTGAGACTGAAGTGTCCCCACTCCTCCCCTGCGAAGTGGAGAAATATCAAATCACAAGACCCAGGGCAGTGCTGAGAGCTGTGTCAGAGACTGGAACCTGCTCTGGCAGTGGTACTTGCTGCTTGTAACCAGGTACCCAGGTACCAGTGGTACCTGGCTGTTTGTAACCCCGGCCCTGGGTTGTAGGCAGATGGCATCTCTGTCCCATCCTTTCCCCACAGATCACAGGGCAAATGCCCAGCCTATGACTCCACAGGGATGAGATCTCTTCTTCCAAACAGGCTCTCATAAACCTTGTGAACAAGTGGCGTTCCCACATCTCTGCACTGATACGGAGCAGATTATCTGAGCTGCTGAGTTTTGCTACAAACAAGCATGATGCATAGAAATAATAAAGTCTGGAAGGTTTTCTAATTCAAAGCTGTGCTTCTGGATTAGTTCCCTGTCATTAGACAGTGAGGAAGAAGAGCTATTGCTGCTCTGCTTCCTTCTCAAACTCAGAAAAGGATAAACCCCCACACACAGAGTCACTGGGAGTGGGGGTGGGCAGGAAAACAGAAAACAGGCAAGAGAAGCAAATGTTCCTCAGGGATGATACTGGACCATGGTATCATGCTGGCTGATGGGAAGCTCTGGAGATGTCATGAACTCTGGGTACAACCACGGTGAGGGAAAAAGACCTGTGAAATTATGCAGAGACCTTCCCTATAAAGCCAAGCCCAGACATCTGAATATGGCTCAGGACAGAAACACCAATTAAAGACCCCTTAATTTGTGCCATAACTAGGGCATTGGATGGGTAAATGCAGGTGAGACTTAGTGGAATATTTCCCAGGGCATCTATAAATAGGGATAATGGAGACTTGGCAAAGACAGACAATGAAAATAAAGGTATCCACTGCCCACTCACTGAACGATGAGGCACTTCAGATCTTTAAATGACCCACCTTCAGTGCAGGCTGAGAGACTTGTTCTAGGTCAGCAGCTACCAAAAAGGCCCAGCTGTCACCAGGCATAAAAACAGTAACGTCTTTTGGGATGAAATCATAGCTTTTGATAGGCTGCCGCAGTCCTCACAGCACCAACACAGCTCGGATGAGTCACAGGCTGGTCTCCTTCGCAGCGTTTCAGTGGTGGGTGGCTCCATCTGCGGTGGTTTACTTGTGTCAGGGTCCACCTGCAGTGGTTTATTTGTGGGTCGGGGCTGTTGGCAGCAGTTTGCTCATGGCTCAGCTCCTTTGTGGTGGTGTGGTTGTGGCTGGCTCCTACTTGTAATTGTTGTTCTGTGGCTGGGTTTGAGTATTATTACTTGGATTTAAAGCAGAAAGGGAACAACTGCAGAATCTGGGACGAGGTGGAAGTGCTGGACTTTTCCATGGCAGGAGGTAGCTAACAATTTAAAACACTGAAAATGCAGCTATTGGCCGGCTGTGGTCAGTGGGGTTTTAACTAGCACTCCTGCAACTCACTGCATGTGCGGCTGCTGCTGCCTGGGCTGTGAGATCCTGCTCTGCTTTCTGCACAAGCCTCTCTAGTGCAGTTGGATCCAGCACCTCTAGAGCAGGACCGGGAGTTTCCTGGCATGGACAACGTGGCCCAGGAACACAGCAGTATCTCTCACCACACCTGCTGTGTGATCCCCCCCATTGCCAGGGAGCAGGAGGGCACATTATGCACCAGCATGTCTGGGTTTGGGAGGAGTGGTACAGCATCTTTCTTTACAGCACCCAACATGGACAGTCTCCAAATACATATGG